TTTAAGATATTTTATAAATTTTAAAAAATATCTGTAACAATATACTAAAACAAATTATATCTTTTTTTCCTTGGTATGCATAATAAATTCTGCTTATGGTCACATCTCTAATTTTTTACATATTTGACCCAACTAGCATTAACTATCGCGTAAGATACACAGGAAGCATGAGCATAGCCATCGTTATATGTAAATATACATACATATAAGTAATTGATAACTCCATACCTTTAATCAATAAAATCACTTCAAAAAATATACAATTCAAAATAATAACAATTACATAAATAATTAAAAATAATATAAAAAGCCACACAATTAGTTCTTAAGATGTATGGCTCATCAAAGACTACCAGAACAATACATAAATGCTTTCCACAAGGCTGGTTCATTAGCTGTGATAATCATTAATTTCTGAGCAACAAAGCATCTCTAATACTTTTGGGGGTAAGAATTTACAGATGACTGCACCTGTGTTCCATGGAAGCAAAAAAAAAAAAAATGGTTTACCACAAGTATTCTTACCATAGATAAAAGTTTATTCGAGTCATTACCAAATACTAAATATGAATATATTTTTTATTAGGATATCAAATCTTAATTTATCATATTATAAAAGATTAACTCAATTTTTTAGATTAACTCGCGTTAGCTCACCACAAGGCATGCGGCTAACGTGATTTTATCCAAGCTTTTAGGGTTATCTCGAATTCTATCTTTTCTATATATTCAGAGGCATTATCTTGAACTATGACGTTTTGTCCTTTATAATATGAATCGCTCATATTACCAAAAACCAAAAACAAAAAAAAAAAACAAAACAAAACAAAGTGTAACGTTTTGAATAGGTAAAATTTTTAGAGAATTTAAACCAATTGCAATAAAAAGTAGAATAATTTAATTATAAATAAATTTTAAAATATTAATTCAATATGAAACATGAAATAAGAGGTTGCTTTACTTTGTGGTACTGTTGTGTGAGATATTTCAATAGAAAATAAAATTCAGTTGAGTTATAAAATAGTTTTTATTTTAGAATTTTTTTTATTGTGAAAGTAAGATAATATATATTTCGCATAATTAGATATAACATGAAATATAAAAAATTCATGTCATTTACCAAGTAAATGAACAAAGTGTAGCTTTCTAAGCAGGTGAAATAGTAGGTAGCAAACAAAAGAAATCAAGAAAGTAGGTGAAATAATTTTTAAAATTTGAATCATTCAAAATCACGCCAAGAAAAAAAAACCACAGAAATTTGATGAAAAAAATACATGGACCACAAACTTATATTTATTTATTGTAAGAAACTTGTAATTCTATTCCAATCAATTTCATAAATATATTTCCAATTGTTGCATGTCAAAAACATTTTATTGACTTTATGTTCAAGAGAATCCAAATTGTATATTCTATTCTAATATTTTCTCATTTATTCTCATCAAGTAATCAATTCTTATTGGCATGTGATAATTAGACTGCAAATTGCTCACCACCCGCCATCAATCAATTGCCCCATCTGTGTCAACAAAAAGCAGCTCGTTTCAAATATTATTATAAATAAATACCTAACACTCTTACAATATAAATCACATGTAATAAGATTATGATACTTACAATATATTTTCTTTTGTTAGTTTTATATATTCTTTTATTGAAAATAATTATATTTGAGTAGAACCATCAATTAGGATCGAGATCATAGGACCGGCCCTTTTAAACCCAAAAAATCTAGGGCCGACCGACTACTTTAAAATGTAAAATAATAATTCGGATGAGAAAAAAAGAAAAGAAAGTAATTAAAAATATTAAAGATTTGAGAAGATTAGAAGATCGAATATATTTTATTAGGATATTTTATTAATTAAGAATATTTTGTTTTAATTATCATAATATTTAAATTATTATTATATTTTCATTTAATTTTAGAATTTCAAAAATTTCCAGCATTTTATTTTAGGGTTAAAGTTGAGGTTTATAAATAGCGCATTAGCTCATTTATTTTAGACATACATTTAATTAAATAAAAATTACTGTTATCTTGCCTCTCATTTGAGTTTTTTTCTTCTTTCTATTCTCTCCACTGATTCCTTTCTCCCTTTTCTATATTTTCTTCCCTCTTCTGCTTCCTCGTTTCTACATTAATTGGCATCAAAGCAAAGTTCCCACCATTCGATTTCTATTACCAAACCCTTTTTTAGTACCAAGAATTATTATACAAAAAGGCTATGGGAGATAAGTTTATAATCTAAAACTCTTTAAGTTACTCGGTACCATTCTTTAATCCTAAATTCTAGATCCCTTGCCATTTATCTCTTTTTCTTATTCATTTTTCTTATTTTTCTTGTTTGTTTCTACTTTCTTTTATTTTAAGCCACTCTACCATATTTCCTTCTTTTTGATATTATTTTGTTTTCCTTCCTTCCTTCCTTTATTTAATTATTATTCTATTTTTTCTTTCGTTCATTCACTCATTTGATTTTTTTAATTTAACTCTAAAAAAAATTGACCTTATAAATAGTTTAGCCCTATGTCTAGGTCAAAATTTTCCCTAAACTACTCAAAGTTTCTATTGGTTTCCCTAAAGGGTTTTCAGGCCTTTGAAGATTACTATGAAAACTTTACTTATATTGTTACTTATTTAGCATGTTTAATTCTTGAGAAACTTTTGAGTTTTTGGAGGGTTAGACTTGTTGAATAAGGTCATCACCTTTTAGGTGAAAGCACCTTGGAAACCTTTTCTTAAATAAGATATTAGAGCTTTCCAATAAAAAAATAAAAAGATCTCACCTTCCATTGCCTACAATCATAAAAAAAAAACCCACATTCAATAATGATGTTATGGCCTCATTTAATTGCCAATGTGATTATATTAACCATCATCGATATGATTATATTGATTGTTATTGATATAATTATCATTGTCATTATGATTATGCTGATCATCACTACTATGATTTGGTTGATCAATCAGACTTGAATTTTATATGTTCACACCTTGAATTTGTAAGAAATAAAATTGATGAACTCCAAAGCTCCATTCGATCCACATTAAAAGAAAGGCATTGCTATCAAGTGGAGAAAGAGAAGTTATATCAAAAGAAAATAACTCCTAATCCTCTTAATAGTATCTTAAAATATAAACACTCTAATATTTTGACTTCTAAAGGAGATAATATGCCTAACCAAGATTATGTACCTATATCAGTGGTGCTAGAGAGTAATATTATTGCTGATTTTGAGATTGAGTCATGTGACAACATAGAAATTAAAGAAGTTTAATTGATTCATGTTGAAGCTTTTACTTCTATCTTAGATATAAGCGTTGTTGGGACTCAAGAGGCAACTCTTAATCAAAAAGAAGAGAAATTATGAAAGCAAAGTCTACACATGGTAGTTAAGAATTTTGAAACAATTAATGATGGAATCCAATTTCAACTAGCTCCTACTCTACCTAATTCATCTACTATGCCCTTTAGTGCTGATGTTATTGAAAATATGGAAGCACATACTATTTGCGAACCATATGGTTCTCTCCAATATTATCTTATTTGTTGGAAAGGATTTTTAGATTTGTATGTTGTGCTTCTATATGCTCAAATTATTTACAATTTATTTGATGTCATTTATTGATATCTGATTTGCTAGAAAGGGCTTCCAAATAGAGACACAACTCAGAATCTCTCAATGCCATCGTACTTCCAGAGCATATCCACAATTTTACTCTCCGAAGGAGAGTTCTTCAAGCAGGGGAGAGATGATGGGAAGAAAAAGAAAAAAAATAATTAAAAATATTAAATATTGAGAAGATTGAAAGATCAAATATATTTTATTAGGATATTTTATTAATGAGAAATATTTTATTTTAATTGTTGTGATATTTGAATTATTATTATCTTTTCATTTAATTTTATAATTCTAAGAATTTCTTGCATTTAATTCTAGAGTTAAGGTTGAGGCTTGTAAATAGCGTTTTAGCTCATTTGTTTTAGACACGCATTTGATTGAATAAGAATTACTGTTATATTGCTTCTCCTTTGAGTTTTTCTCTTCTTTCTATTTTCTCTACTGATCCCTTTCTCTTTTTTCGATATTCTCTTCCCCCTTCTCCTTCCCTGTTTTTACACCACCAGGCCTTTTAAGTCTTAAAATAAAATGGCTGGCCTTTTTAAGTCTTTCTATAATTTTTTTAAAATTTTAATATTAAAAAAATTAAATACTACATTAATTTTAAAATTCTAACCTTATTTTACAAGGATGAAGAAGGAATATATAAAAAAATTAATATTTTTATTATTGTTAAGGCTCCACAAAGAGAAGAATGAAATTATATTAATGTTCATAAAGATGAAAATCATCAAAATTTTGAGAATGATGGTAACAAAGTCTAATTATTATTGGCATTGATTGTGATATTGCTTTTCATTAGACTTAAATTTATTCTTATATATTTAATGTTATGTGTAATAAATTTTTTGAGATTTTAAATATATTTTTTTAAATTTTTAAATTAAAAAATAAAAAATATATAGGATCGGGCCTCCTTAAATTCTAAAACTTAGGGTCAGGCTAACTAAAATAGAACTCTAAAATATAATCAAACTTTATAAGTTTAATCTATTTAGGTCCTAGCCCATCAAGGGTTGACCTGACCTTAATTGACATCTTTATATTTGAGACATTATCAGATATTAAATATATTTTTTTTTTTTAATGAAGGATTTAAACATTGATTCTCTATGTCATGGGACGCTAGCTTTTTCTGTGTTGTTACAATATTTTAATGTGACCCCAGTAGATTCCATCACAAAATATACCAAAACATCTTGGGCCTCGGCCCATCATGATAGGATCCAAAAGAATTTGGGCCTGGACCCACTCGATCATCTGGGCAATTCCTTCACAGTCGGTGGCCAATAGTCGAAGCTTGAAAACTCCCAAACATTCTGGATTTCTCAACACTTTTCTCGACAGGACCACATAACCCCCCTCTCCCCCATTTAAATACCCCAACCTATCCTGCACTTCACCGTCAAGAATAGCAAAGCAAAAGCAAGCAGCTAAGCCAGTATCAGCACTCGCTTCTCTCATTCTCTGTTGTTATTCTCTTTCGAGTTTAGAGACAAACATGTCGTTGATCCCTAGTTTGTTCGGTGGTCGAAGGAGCAGCATCTTCGATCCCTTCTCTCTGGACGTATGGGACCCGTTCAAGGACTTCCCTGTCCCTTCTTCTTCACTGGGAAATTCAGCGTTCGTGAACACTCGCGTGGACTGGAAGGAGACTCCAGAAGCTCACGTGTTCAAGGCCGATCTTCCAGGTCTGAAGAAGGAGGAGGTCAAGGTCGAGATCGAAGACGACAGGGTGCTTCAGATAAGCGGCGAGAGGAACGCCGAGAAAGAAGACAAGAACGACAAGTGGCACCGAGTTGAACGTAGCAGTGGGAAGTTCATGAGGAGATTCCGGTTGCCGGAGAATGCGAAAATGGATAAGGTTAAGGCTTCCATGGAGAATGGGGTACTTACTGTGACTGTTCCGAAGGAAGAGGTTAAGAAACCTGAGGTCAAGGCCATTGAGATCTCTGGTTAAAGAAGATGAAGAGTTGATGGCATTCTCTGTTTTCTTTCTGGGTTCGTATCTATGAATGAGTCTTCCTTTGTCTTATAATATTGGAGAATCAATTTTTGTAATATAGTGTGTTGTGCTTTCTGGAAATTTTAATAACCTGGTGATGGATAAGAAATGGTTGAAGAGACAGTCGTGTGATGCATAGTCTGTTCTTGGGTTGTCATATTGAAATAAATTGTATTTTTAAATTTGTTTTAATTATTGTTTTGATTATTTAATTTTAATTTTTATTAATTTATTTTTTTAAATTTATTTCAATTATTAATTATTAATATAGGTTTTTAGAGGAGGAGTTATCCGTTTTTAATAAAATAATTAATTATTTTTAAATTAATATTATTTTTTTAAATTTATTTTTATTTAATAAAATATTTAAAATTAAAATAAATATAAAATAATTTATTTATTATTAATATTTTTTTAAAATAAATTAATTATATTTTAAAATATAAAAAATGTTTTTTTAAACAAAGGGAGTAATAATAAACCACAAAATATTGATAAAAATTATATATATTAATGAATATAAATATAATTATATTAAGTATGGAAAAAATTTAAATATAAATTTGTGCCAAAAAAATAAGTATGAAAAATATATTTAGAAATTTTAAGAAAAAAATATTTCATAAGAAATTATATTTTTCTTAAATTATTTTCTATAATTTATTAATTCAATTTTGTTTAAAGGTTTAGATTTTTTTTCAATGTATTAAAGAATTTTCATTATAATTATTTAATAATTTTTGTTCAACGGTTTTCTTTTTTACAATTTTTGCAATACCGAAAATATTTATTATAATTAGTGCATGGTTAGAATATAAGGATTTTTTATTAGATAAGAATTGAATTTCATGTTCCTCAATCTTTTTCTAAAATTTTTCGTTTTTTCTATAGTAAGGTCTTGTTATTCTTATTTTTCAAGCTTCATGTTTACATGGTGTTGAGAATATTAAGACTTTCTGAAACATATGTATAGGATAATGTTTTCTATAAAATCTATTCCTAATTTCATTGTACTGATTTATTTCATTAATTTTTAATTTATATTTACCTATTTGTATTGGGACATCTTTTACTTTTAATTCTATCATATTGATTTTTCTTTCTATTCCTTTCATTCTTAATTTTATTCTTCTTTTTTCACAATTCATTTGGTAATACATTAACTTTTACTATTAAAATATTTGCTCCAATATCTATTAAGGCATGATATTTTTAGATCTATATTTTTGATAATTGAATTTTATGATAATATAATATAATTTTATCATTTAAATAATTAATTTTACTTTTAGAATTATTATCGTCTAATAATTTATATTAATCATAATTCTTTTCATTTGTATCCTGTATGGCTTTACTTGATTTAATAAATCTTTTCCTAATATTATTTTACATTACTTATCACTATTCTTTTCTACCCATAATATTACATTTATTACATCTTTTTATCTATTCTAATTAAATTAGATGTTTTATTTCCTTCATTTTTTATTTTTAAATTATTTTTTATAAATTCTAACTGAATACTACTTTTTTCTATTTTATGGTCAACTAATGCTATTACTTCTCTCCATATAGCTCTTTTTTTTTTAACTTCTATTAATATGTAATTATCATTATTTGTCACATCTATTCTAAGTGTTTCTAGTCTTAAAAATGCTAAATTTGAAGTTATTGAAATTTCTGCTAAATAATCCAGTAGTATTTTCGTGCTTTGTGATTTATTCAAAGACAATCCTCTTTTAGTTATTAGTCTTTTTTCTACAGTTAGACTTCTTCTAGGGTTGTTAATGTTTACATTTAAACATAGAGGATGACCCTATTCAGTTATAAACTTATACATTCAATACACCCTTCTAATAATATGTTTAAAATATCTCGGCTCCCAAAGTCAATCCAAGAAGCTGCAAAACACTATTTTGAAATAGTGACTTAATATTGAGTATAGATTAGATATTACTCAACAATAACTGAAGTTACTTCAGAAAAATTTTATCTTTCCATTAATTTTATTAAATTTGGAACCACCAAAAAACCTTTTGAATGTGAAAAAGAAGAAAAAGAAGACATAGAAGAAGATGAAAATTTTCAATATGAAGTTTCTACAATAAAAGCCCCATAGTTCAATATTATATTTCAAGAAATGAATAGAACCACGACAGCTGATGAAACCCAACGAATTTATTTCACAGGACTAACAACATGTATATACTCCGTCGGAAAGAATAGTTGGATGGTCAAAAATTTTAGCCAATGATATGAAAAAGTAAAAAGTTATTAGATGAACAACCCAAAGATCACTAAGAAAAAAAATATGCCAGGTGTTATCTGAATATGTAAATCATAAATGCAAATATTGTGATAAAAGAAGAATAGTTGAAAAAAATTATGAAGACCCCACAATCGATTTAAATATCTTGGAGCAATCTACCGACAATAGAAAAATATAAGTAGCCGACACATAAAGACAAGAAAGAAAGGTGGCCGATGAGGACAAAATAGCTGACACATGAAGATAAGGAAAGAAGGTGGTCGACAAGGACAAAAGTTATCTTAACTTCAAAGTAAAGTTAGAATTATTATTACTTTACTTGTAATTTTGTCAAAAATTACCATTGCTTTAGGATTAAGTTTTATCTTTAACTAATTGTAGTTAGGATAAACTTATAACCAAGGTTGGTATGTCAATTTTATATAAAGCCATGTAATCTCAATTGTAAAAAAAATAAAGAACCTAGAAGAACTTGTATCAGATTTCAGAGTTTTTTGATCTCTGCCTTCTTAGCTTCAATAAAATTCTCTTTCAATTACTTCCATTTTACCTTCACCATTTTAAGTATTAAACAAGTAACCCAGGTATGAATTCCAAGTAATTTTTTTTCAGAGATTAAGAATGAATTATTATCTGAACCCTAACATAGTGGTAATCCAGTGATAATCCTTATGCTTTTTGTAGGAAACGAAGGAAGGTTGGGCTGTGATGATCTAAATAGAAAAGGTATGTGTCGGATTGAAGTTCTAGCTTGGTAATTCTCTATATGAAAGAGGATAGAAATCTTTTTATGACCCGGATCATTATTTGTCGAACTCTGTGGTAGCATATAGCTAATCTGTTGAATTATGGTATCAGAGCAAGGTTATCACTTGTTAGAAGGAAGATAATATAAACTTCATAATCTCTAAAGTTATATTAGAAAATTCAAGGTGTTCTTGCTTGGATTTGTATTTTTTGAATATTTGTCTACATATTATTGAAGCTTTAGATTCATTTTAGCAACAGTAATAATGAATGTAATAAAAATAGTAGAACCAAGATTATATGAAGTAGAAATACATAAACTACTAGAAAACTATTATTTACCAGTAAATGAACCTTCATGTTAGTTAGTACTTTTTATATTAGGAGGAGATGAAGATAGTACATTTAATCAAGTAAATTGAACTAATATGTACATAATGAAACAATTAGAAAGTTATATTAATATAAATATAGAAGACTTAGTATAAATATATAGCCTAGATGAAATAATAGAGATGTTATTCATAGAAGAAAAAAGTGTGATAGAATAAGAAAATCCAAAAAATAAATTATAAAAACTAATAGAACTAGCAAAAACATTTGAGCAAAAAATATATGAAATAAAGAAAGATTTTAATGACAAAATAGGAAAGGTAAAATATGATATAGAAAATATAAAATATAATATGCAACATATAAAATATAATACCCAACAAGTAATGAACGCCTTAGGAATAGACAGTACAATGGAAGTAGTAGATGAATGTTCTTAGATTAATATGATGAAAATAGTTGAAGAAGAAAATATAAGTATTACTGAAGAAAAATAAATAAAAAAAAGTAAACGAAAATATGAGACAAACAAAAATAATTACAAAAAGGACAAGAAGTCATAAATAATAATTTATGGAAGATATTTGAACAAATTGAAAAATTAGAACTCCAAGAATATAATAGAAAACATGGAAGACAAAATTCAATAAAAAGTGAAAAACAAAAACAAGAAATAATAGAATTAACAGAAGAAGATAGAATTAAACAAAAAGAAAGTAATAGATTTAATTATTTTTAAATTAATATTATATTTTTAAATTTATTCCTATTTAAAAAATATTTACCGTTAAAATAAATATAAAATAATTTATTTATTATTAATATTTTTTGAAAAAAATAAATTATTTATATTTTAAAATATAAAAAATATTTTTAGACTAAGGGAGTAATAATAATTAACAAAATATTGATAGAAATTATATACATTAATGAATACAAATATAATTATCTTAAGTATGGGAAAAATTTAAATATAAATTTGAGCCAAAAAAATAAGTATGGAAAAATATATTTAGAAATTTTAAGAAACAAAATAATAAAATATTGCATAAGAAATTATATTTTTCTTGAGTCATTTGATAAAAATTAAATTAATTTTAAAATGTTTTTTCTTATATAATTTCATATAAATATGAAGTCATTAATATATTTTATATACTATTAATTAAATTAAGTTAAAATTCAATTTATATTTTAAAATTAAAATTAAAAACAAAAGGAAATAAATTATAAGTTACATTTTTTAAGATGCAGCAAGATGCCGTTGTTACGAAAACAAAATCTCGTTAAAGTCATGAGATTTGACCTTACAGAAATAAAGACACCTTCCAAACATAATTTACAGTAACTCCAATAATGCATTACAATTTAATTATTTTCTGCCACATATTTTACAGCCACTCCAGCTGGAAGTACAAGTTAATTATTTTTACTTGCTTCCATCTCACCCTGTTAAATTTCTTGTATTAAATACATTTAAAGATAATATATTTAACAAAAATAATTTAAATTATTTAATTAAATACTTCTTAATCTTATATATTTATAATATTTCTTTTAAGCTTTAGGTATAAAACTTTTTAATTTTTTAATATTTCTTTTATTACCTTTTTTTCCTTTTCATTTTTTTCTTGTTGTATGATCTTGCATTTTTTTTTTTTTTAGTGTCAGAGGATACAGATTTACCCTCCCTCTCTCCCCCTCTCTCATTTTTTTCCCCATCTTTCATTCTTTTTTCGTCTCCTTTGTCCCATCAAATGTTTCATTATACCATGCTAAATTTTTTATACTAAATACATGTAAAGATGATATACTCTATAAAAATAATTTAAACCATTTAGTTATATACTCTTTAAGCTTGTATATTTACAATATACCCCTTAATATTTAGATATGAGATTTCTTTTATCTTCTAATAAACTAGACGAGTCTGTATCTCCTTGGCCTCTAGCTCGCATGAGATGATTTCGCTTTCTAATTTCTGCAACTTTCTCTTAAGTCGAGCAGCCTGGCCTTGAAGGGATCGACTGAACCTTCTAATCTCCGATGCTTCGAATTCGGCCTTGGCCTTGACATGACTGTCATGGATGCTAGCAAGGCTCACTTCTTCCTCCTTATAACACTGAACGTGCTCCTCAGGTTTGAGGCAGTTGTCAGAAGTGTTAGCAAGTCTGACTTTCTTCTCTTCGTGATGCTGAATGTGTTTTTCAGGAGAGACATCCGCAAAGCCAATCGTGGTAGGTATTAACAGATGCAACAATGACCGGGCCTTCTTCACAAGAGATCCCCAGAAAACTGAAAAAATTGCCATGGCTATATCCCGAGAATCATCAATATCAATACTTGGAGTAATGTCTGTCTCCTGAGGATCGCCAGTATTTGGAGCAGTCTCCATATCCTGAAGATCGCCAGTATTTGAAGCAATGCCTGGATCCTGAGGATCCTCAATATTAGGAGCAATGTTCATATCCTGAGGATCGCCAAAATTTAGCGCAATGTCTGGACCCAGAAGATCTTCCATATTCGAAATAACCGACAATGAATCCTCCCACACGTGATGACTGCAAGCACCATGACCCTGTTTGAAATTTACTCTTCTGTTAAGGCAGAAGCAATAGTCCTAAAGTTATAGCGGACCAAGAATAAATTCATGATATTCTAGGCCAATGGAAATCATATTTATGATATAACAGCAAAAGAAAAAGGGAACAATCTTCTATATCATATGTTATAAACTCTTGATCATACATATATAGCTACACCGACATCAAGACCTCCAATCCTGAAAGCCCTTTTACCATTGCTTTCGATCAATACGGGGAGGAATATTGCAAAAGAAGATGGTTGCCAAATACCAACATAATTGATTTCTGTTAAGGATTAATGTGTTTCAGACCATTTATGATTGTCCGGCATTTAGGAATAATGTGTTTCATTTCTTTATTGGGTTCAGTAATCAGTATTAGCATTATCCCATTACTATTTTTACGTCTGATAGTGACATATTTTGAGAATGTGTTATCTTTGCATGAGAGTAGTGGTTTTATTTACAGTGTTGTGTCTTGAGCGTGTACGTCACAACTACTACTTTGTCCTTTGTAAACACTTGGCTCTATTTAACCCCCAGATTGAAATATGAACATCAGCAACTAACTTCAGCAAAAGCTCTGCCTTTTTTTTTTTTTAATATAAAGCCACAGAAAAATCGTGAAGAGAGATAAAAAATCAGATCATGTCAGATCTGCATCCTGAAGGCGAATGATTAAAAATTTGAAAATCCAAATTGTCTTCAATTGCCTGGCGTGATAGCATATCAGTGTATCAGTCAGTTTTTCAAAACACATGCTTGAAATTGACCATCTAGTCTTTCATGACAAAATCTTAAATATAAGAACAAAGGCATGAACATATCTATCTACTTGTTTCAATTATTGTCTATGGGTCTCACAAGTCAATCTTAAACATAAGAACAAAGGCATTCATATATAGGATACTATCTACTGCACAATAGCCGGCCACAAACATTCTGCTATCTCTGGTCCGAATTGTTAGACCTCATTACTTAATTCACACCTATTAAGAAAAGAGGCAAAGTTGGTTGTTTGTATTTAATCTGTAAAAAAATTGCGATACTTTCCCCAAAATACACCCTCCCACTATGGACATTTATGATTGATTTTCAATACGCAAGGGTAGTTTGAGAAAGAAAGTAATAAATAATGCAGACAATAGAGACTGAGCTCTTAAATAGGAACAAAACAAAGCTAGCTTGCATAGCACTGGAGGGAATACAAATTTGAGCCAAAGGCTCATTAAATCTTCAGATTTTAATGTGCATTTGTAAGAAACAAGAAGAGATGTGAGGGGAGCACATTCACCATGTTCTCATTACCCTGAAACAATCTAAACCGTTCAGATTAAACAACTTTTTTTAATTTTTATATTTTTAAAAATAAAAATTTATAAAATTCTAAATAAACATATTTATTATCAACATGTACCATTCATATTTAATCAGATTAATCTAAATTTAATATTAATTTTTATAAATTGACTGTATAGATTTATTCTGTACTATTCATATTCAAAAAATTTTAACTTATTATACAATTAGATTCAAAACAGTTTGAAGTAAATCTTTATAGTCCATTTATAAAAAATATTAAATTTGAATTGATCTGATTAAATACAAATGGTACAAATTGATAATAACTTTTTTCGTTTAAAAATGTAAGGCATTTTTACCGAATCTCACCCCAACAAAGTAATTACCTACTTTCACACTAACTCTATCTTTCCATACTTACCCCTATCAAACACCCTATAATAAATATAAAATCATTATCAATAGGAACACTTTTGGAAAAAAAAGCAATGATTACACCTCAAAAGATTGAAAATACCTTACATTTTTAAACATTCAACTCCTAAAAAAATGTATTACATTTTTGAACTGAGGGAGTAATAAATTTATTAAATTTTGTATTTTTATTTAAACAAATAAAAAAAGTAGTTTAATCTGAACCGGTCCAGATTGTAATGTGCTCCCAGATGTGATAATGCTAGAGTTTTCCCGAAATATAAATACCTTACAGTTATTTCAACTACCTCTTTTAAGGCATAGAAATATGGCCGTTACAGGCTTGAAATATTTATTCATATGACTCTGCACTAAACATCGAATAAGACCCAGAAAACTAGACCATAGAAACAACGAATGGTGCCTAGATTGCCAACAATTTAAAGCACAAACCTAGGAAAGTTACTCAGAAGAAGCTACAACAACACAATTTTATCACTCGAAGATTCCAGTTACAATGTTACAAGTAGTATCAACTCGGGACCACTAATAATAAATATAAACCAAGTCCAACAGCGAGTTAACAGCAGACACAAGCAAAGAAGAGAGAGATAAAAGAAAAAAGAAGGAACAAAACAACACATAACCTGTGGGTTCTAAAAAAATTAGCATACCTGTTTAATGGGGCATGCAAAAAAATAGAGCCCCTTATGGGGACCACTTATAGCTTTGACTCTCCTGCAAACTCCGGCGCCACAAGAACAAGTCGGGTATGTATACTGAGGAGGACGCAAGTAGCTCTCATCAATAGGATCCTCACACCATTGAACAAAATCCTTACATTTTTTCCCCTAAGAACAGAAACCAGTCACCACATTTGACACAGTAAAAATGGGAGAAAAGATAAGGCAATCAAGAAGCTGAGCCATTGGCGACATTACTCTCTTGATGGGGCAGACGTAGTAGCTCCGGCCACAGTTCCGATCATTCTTGGCCTCTCGGACCTCGCAAAACCCATGGCCACACCGGCAATAAATATTTGGGATTGTGGAATTAGGAGGAGGGATGGGCGAGCGAGATTGTTTGAGAGGGCAGTGGCGACTCCAGTGACCTGGTTGACGGCATCGAAAGCAGAGATCGGCCGGACGGTGAGTTGTTTGGATGGGAGTGTCCGGCGAAGGAACTTGAAAATGGGGAATGGGTTTAGGAGCAAGAGGGCACTCCATTTCATTTCACACGTTTTTGTTCACATTGCGATGGGATTATAATTTATATAACACGCAAAAGCAGAATCTACAGTCTACACTCGATCCCATTCATTGCTCTCTCAAAAGACGTGGTGAACTATCAACAAGCCGGGCGTGGGGTCCCCCTCCCTCTTTTTTCTTTTCCCCCTCCATTTCTGCTCTAATCTAACTGTACAATCAGATTGGTTTTCCCCTCCATTTCTGCTCTACTCTGATTGTACATCTTTTGATTTGGAGTGTCATGAATATTAAAATATTATATAAATATTTATTATCTCCAAATTTTAAACACCTTATTATAATATCTTTCAATTGTTGTTATCTAATATATTTTATTCACTTAATTAATATATTTGTATTTATAAATAGAAGGTATTTTAATTGTATTTGACACATCAAAAATAAAAAAGCTCTCTATGCTCTTATATTTTCAGCATAGTTTTCTCTCTTCTCTCCTCCTCTCAATTTCTATTTTCATAACATGTTGTCAGCATGACAGCTTTACTCTTGACATCGCTAGGTGAGTATTCTTATAATTATTGGATTAGAAATTAATGCTTGTGCCAATGAACATCTTTAATAGAGATGGAGGCATTGTCGGTTGAATATTGAGCAAATCTCTATCATCCATATACTCTTATTATTTATGTTGTTATTGAATTTATTTTTTGTTCAATTATTTTCTTCCTCCCTCAATCAATCAAATAATTACATATTGTGTTTTACATCCAGAAGTATGAGGCACAATTTAATTTTAAAATAGTGGATCTAGAAGTTATTCACATATAATATAAAGTGGATCATAAAATTATCCATATTTAATATACAATGAATCATGAAGTTATTCACATTGAAAATATAAGATGGATCTGGAAGATTACCACTATAAAGTGGATCTGAAAGATTACCAAATAAAATATAAAGTAAATCCTGAAGTTATTTACCTATTATTATGGATACTGATTTTATCCAAATAAAATATAAAGTGGATCTTAAATATTTACATTTAATTATTTATTTATCCTATGTGCACTCAATTTCTTATTTTCTAATTTATCATATATATATATATATATAATATTTGTTTAGCTATTTACATATATAATTTTTAGAAAAATGAATCTTGAAGTTATCCATCCATAACATAAAATGGATCATGAAGTGATACATATAAAATATAAAGTGGATCCCGAAATTATTTACATAAAAGATGAAGTGAATCTTGAAGATATCCACACAAAAAATTTCAAGTGGACCCTGAAGCTGATTGCAAATATAAAGTAGATTATGAAGTCATATCATGAAGTTATCTATTTAAATAAATATATATATATATATATAGTTTTTATTTTCTCTTATTTAATTCTTTTTAATACTCTTGCAATAAATTATTAATAGCCATATTATTTTGATTATGGCATAAAGTCATATCACTTTAAATTTTTACTTTTTTATAAATGATCAACTTATGGTCATGATAAATTATGACTAAAAGTCATATTTATTTTGTTATTATATGGCTAGAAGCCATATTTGATTTTGTTATCTTATAATCAAAAGTCATGTTTAACTTTATTATTGAATAGCTAGAAGTCATTTGTAATTTTGTTATTAAATTGTCAGAAGTCATATGTAATTTTATGATTAAATAGCTAGAAGATATATTTAATTTATTTGTGATTATATGACCAAAAGCAATAGTTGATTTTATTATTATATTGCCAAAAGTCATCTCAATTTTTAACCTTTATATGAAAGGATAATCTTATGATTCTAATGAATTATATAAAATTTGTGGAATGGATATATTGATTATTAATTTAATTGTCTTAACTACCATAGCCCTAAAGGCTAATAGTTCAAAAGAAGTTATTGGATTTAAAAGATTATTTTTCTATAATCCTAAAGATTATAGTCAATAGAGTTTATATTACAAAAAATATGGCATGCATCCATATAGACACATTGTCTATCATTTATTGAATTAGAGGAAAATGTCAAAGAATGATTATGATAGTTTGAAGAAATATATTCACAAAGTGTTACAATCAAATATTCAATTATTATTGTGTTTACATATTGACGCAAGTGTTGATCTATAAATACTTGTAAGAATGAGTAAGTTATTTTCCTCCTTCTATGCATATGCATATTTCAAATTTTAATAAATATTTGATATTAAAATTATTTTTCTCTTGATATATGAAGATATATTTGATAACTCTCACATATACATACATGTTCAAGATATGATATCTATGATGCATTTTTATTAATGATAAAGTTCCCTATTACATTATCCATACATGTATTAATAGTTACAATTGATATATATATATATATATATATCATATTTAGGATTGAAATAAAAACAGTTATTAGAAGTATGCAAGTCATATAATAAGTAAAGCAATGAAAATCATGAATATATGAAAGTGATTATATGTAGATAATTTTTATATATTACTTTGTTGAGTGAGTTCCTTTTAAGAAAATTTTTGAATCATTTTAAAAGTTCTTGGAAATCAATTTTGGATAAATTTTTGATGAAAATAATCTTTTCTAAAAAAGACTTTCTAGATGCAGGTACATATATTTTTTCAAAGTCTTAATAGTTAATTTGTTTACTCCTAATTAAAATGGTAATATATAATAATCTTTATATCCAATGATGGTGAAATTTAGATATGATTAGATAATTATGGTCAACATATAAGGAATGAAATATTTGAGATCATCTTAATTACTGAAAATATCAATACTATAATGTTGATTAATTGTAAATGCTAAAAAGAAATAGCAAGAGTTTCAGGGTATTTATAGAGAATTATAAACTTAGAACTACTTGTGTTTTGTTTTCTAGAGAACTTAAAAAAAATATATCTTTGCACAATATGCAAACAAGAGGATTAATAATCCTTTATTTTAAATGGTTTTACTATTTATGTATATCGGGTGGTACAAAATTGATAGTGTTTCTAAAAGATTTTTCATATCTATGAAGCAAAATTTATTTGTGATATGTTATTTACATGAGTTTTAGATAAGTTATTAAGGATTTTTATGATATTGGATGTTATATTAAAATTGTAACCAGAAGTTTATAATTCTTAGCAAATTGAAAGTTTATTATTACTTTGGTTTGGGATACTAGAGGTATATTGTTATTATTTGGCATGACTAATTAGATCATCCGGAATCAATATTGATGTAAGAATTATTGAGAATTTACAATGACATCCATGGAAAAACTAGAAGATTCTTCCTAAATAACTAACACATTCATGCTTCAAGAATTCTCATGTGCTGCTTAAGAAAAATTATGATACTATCATTAGCAATAATTGGGATTGGATCTCGAATATTTATAGAATATATTGAGTGAAAATAGGCCAATTTAGATATCATGTGGACCATGCAAATATTTAATGAAATTGATAGATGCATCTATAAGATGGTTACACATGTGTATTGAATCACAGCCAAGATTTTGTGAAAGAGAAAGAACTATTATGTTCACAATTACTAATATAGTGATCAAGATGAATCACTTGAAAATGCTAGTGGTTTCATATCTTAGACTCTCAATGATTATGAGATCAAGAAAAGCCTACTCATTAAAATAGTTTATCAAAAATTATTCAAGCCTTTAATAAGATGATTAGACCAAAATTTGTGACAAGAAGATTTTCTATTTAAATATGCAATTTTGCAATTGCAGCACTTAAAAGCATCAAGCTAATAAAGTATTATAAATACCCCAACTATATTTTGACCTTTTGTCAAGAGCCAAAGATTGAGACTTTGTGATGAAGGCTCCACCACTATGTATGAAATATATTTTCAAAAGAAAGTTGGGAGTAATGTCAAAGTCTTAATGGTTCAATGGAATTTAATTAAATTATGATGTGTGGCACAATTCATAAATTCAATTTGCGTTACAAGCATTCATCTTGTGAACACACAATAAGGTTGGGAATAAATGTTAGTTAAAATTCTTCTTCTTGTTTGTTTCTAAATGAAACAATATGATGTTTCTATAAGAAACAAATGGATTTAGAAGGCTTACACTATATGATTTGTAATCCCAAAAAGAGGGAGAGATGATGAAAAGCTGGAAATGAAAAATACATGAATGCATTATTGATATGTTGTATAGATCCTCATATATGAATCAAAAGTTTATATGATGTTGCATTTATGAAATAAAATAATTGCTAGATATATAAATATTGATAGAAAGACGAAGTTTTGAATTCATGCTCCGGTTAATAATGCTTCAAAGGTATAAACAAAAATAAATCACGCTTGAAGCCTGGAAGGCTAATCGGTTGTAAAGAAAGAAAATATTATAGAAAGAAAAAGGAGTAGATAAGTAAGATAATTATATTAACATTACAAAAAAGGTGGTAATAGCAATGGATTTTTGCCATGATTTTTCTTAAACAGTGGTTAATTTAATTTTTAAAGGAAAAAATAGCGAGTAACGGGTATTGATACTAATAAAAACCACATTTTTATGAAAAATATGGCTGGACCACATTTGTGTTAGGAAGATTCTTGACACAAACGTGGCTCAGAACTACAATGTTTTTGCAAAAACATGGCTCAAAAGCCTTATAAATTCTCCTGCCCCCTTTAAAAATTTCACATTTGTGCGCAGTGTATTACAAGTTCATCTTTTCGTATTTTTTTTTGAAATTGTTATTTATAATGAATTAATGAATATTTGTTTCTTTTATTTTCTTTATGTTTAACTTTGTTAAAACTTTGATGGAGAATGTTTTATTAAATTATTTTTCAATTATAAGATTCTCCTTATGAGTATGATGGCGTATCAATAATATATAAATTATTTTTTTGTCAGGAATAATATATAAATTATTTGTATTAATATTAGCAACATAACTTTCATAATCTTATACTTAAATTTTGTTTAACAAATAAATTTTTTTATTACAAATATAATGTACTTATTATTATATAAATATTTTTTGGTTAAAATTAGTACTATA